CATTCATTTTTGGTTTTTTCACCTTAATTTTCATTTTACCAGATACCGTAAAATTGATTGTTTAAGTTTTTCAATGTTTTTTGCTTTTTCTCTTCTATTTTTTCAATTTTCTATATTTTTTGTTTTCTACTTTACCATTTCATTTCATTTTATTTTCATTTCTATATCTCTTATTTGAGTCATGTGTTTTTGTTTATCTTTTTATTCTAATAATGACATAAAAACCCAAGCCTCCCCTTTCGGTACAAATGTTTTCTCCATGAGTTTTTTAGTCAAAAGAAATTGTGTGAACACAGTTTTAAAGGGGGCCGTAACTGCAAGTTTTTAAATGGGGTTGTAACTGCAATATTTCAAGTTGGGTTAAAACTATAAGTTTTCAGATGGGGTTGTACCTATGAGGTTTTAAAAAAACAGGTCATAACTACATGCATTCAAATAGGGTCACAACTGCAATTTTTAAGATATGGTCACAATTACATCAAGTTGGGTTGCAACTAGAAGTTCACATGTCGGGTCGCAACTGCAAATTTCAAGTACGGTCGCACCTACAAGTTTTCAAGTGAGGTCGCAACTTCAAGTATTAAAACATAGTCGCAGCTGCAAGTTTTTAAATCTGGTCGCAATTTCAAGTATTCACAAAGGATTGCAACTGCAAGTTTTTTGAAATACGTCAAAATTTGCAATTTTGGAGTGAGGTTGTAACTCAGATGAAGTCTTATGGCCTACCCGAACACCCTTCATCGTACATGTCTATTTTTAGACATCCTTCAAATGACCTTAGTTTTGCAAGTAGGTGGGCATGCCCATGGTAGGCATCCATGTCAGGTATGAGCGATTTCCGACACCGTATGCAAGTTACTACACGTCCGACTATTATCGGCTTTTTTGACCGAGAAAAATGCAAATTTTGTCGAAAAACAAAACAATTTGGCATGGTGCCTTGAGTTGGTCATATAAGGCCTTGAAAAAATTGGGACCATTTCAAGGATGTCGAAAACCAACGTACTCTCATTCAGACCTTTCTGGCCTATGCGAACACCCATGGATGAACATTGTTTTTTGGACATCCTTAAAATGTCCCCAACTTTTGCCACTAGGTGGGCATGCCCATGGTAGGCGTGATTGCCAGGTTTGAACTATTTCCGACATTGTTTGCAAGTTGCACCACGTCCGACCATTTATCGGTCTTTTTTTATCGAGAAAACTCCAGAAAATGCAAAACTTATCGAAAACCCAAGCAACTTTGTATGGTGTCTTGAATTGTTCATACAAGGCCCTGGAAATATTGGGGCCATTTACGGATGTCGAAAAAAAGTGCTCTCGAACAGAGCCTTCTGGCATATCCGGCCACCATACATTGAACATGATGTTTTTTCGGAAATCATTGAAATGACGCCAACTTTTGCCACAAGGTGAGCACACCCATAATAGGCATCCATGCAAGGTTTGAACGAACTCTAACAAACTCTACATGTTTGCGACACGTCCGGTCATTTATCTGCCTTTTTTATCGAGAAAACTCTAGAAAATGCAGACTTGTCAAAATCCAAAGAACTTGGGATGGTGCCTTAAATTGCTCATACAAGACCATGAAAAAAAATTAGGATATTTCAAGTCGAGAAACAAAGAGCTCTCAGATGGAGCCTTCTGGCCTACCCAGACACCCTCCGTTGAACAGGGTTTATTTTTCAACATCCTTGAAATGACCGTAAGTTTTGCAAGAAGATGGGCGTGCTCATGGTAGGCATCCATACCAGGTTTGAACAATTTTATACACCGGATGTAAGTTGCGGCTGCCGACCGAAAAAATTCCCGAAAATGCAAAATTTGTCAAAAACCAAACCAACTTGGCATGGTGTCTTGAATTGTTCATACATGCCGACTGAAAAATTGGGGTCTTTTTACAGATGTCCTACCCGGATGCCCTACGGAGTCTTCTGGCCTACCCGGACGCCCTACGTTGAACAATGTGTTTTTTGGACATTCTTGAAATGGCCCTAACTTTTGCGGTAGAAGGGAAATGCCCATGGTAGGCATCCATGCCAGGTTTGAGCAAATAAGTATTTGAAATCATAATTTAAACATGTATCTATAACTGTTACTCCCTCCATCCCATAATATACGAGCATTTTCGACACCACACTAGCGTAAAAAAAAACGCTTTTATATTAAGGACAGAGAGAGTATTTTAATTTTTAACATAACTAAAAAATACAAAAAGATAAAACTAAAACTGTAAATGCTTTTTAAAGCATTTAATAAATATTTGAAGGAAAAGAGTTTAAGGTCATAATATAAAGGAGATACTTAAAACTATTATTTTGGTACTGCAAACATATTTCAAATTTTGAACAGGTTTCAAAAGAATAATGAAGTTTAAATTGAAGAAAAATAATTAACAAAAAAGAGAGAAGAAGATCAAAAAATTGAAAAGAAAAAGGCTAAGGCCTTGGCCTAACTAAGCAACGACATCGGGCGCCTGTCGGGCCGGCCCAAGCGTTCACGTATTTGAAAAAATTTCATCGATTCAAAAAAGTCCTTGTTGTGAAAATTTGTTCCAAATTCAAAAGATGTCTTTTTTTTTTCAAAATTTGCTCAAAAAATTTCAAAATGTTTGGGGAGTTTCAAATAATGTTTGCGCTTTAAAATTTTGTTTGAAATTTCAAAAGTGTTCACATTCCAAAAAATTATAGACAAATAATAAAAACTGTTCAGGGAAACTAAAAAAATGTTTCTATTCGTATATTTCTGAAATGGTTTCGAAAGTCCAAACTCGTGTGGCAAATGACGAGCGGTCAGCAACGGGAGTTACATGGTTTGATCCCTTCCACTGCTGCACGCACAGGGCGAACCCCAGCGAGCACCTTGTCTTTTTCTTTTACATGTTTTGGGATTTGTTTTTCTGCTGTTTTCCTTTTCTTTTCTGTTTATTTTTTTTATTTTTCCAGTTTATTTTTTATTTTCAAAAAAATTATCTCTTTAAAAAAACTTTCGCCTTTTTCAAAAGTTGTTCATGTTCATGTGTTTCTCAAAAACACAAAAAAAGTTTGTCCTTTTGATTCTCTTTCAGATTTTCCAAAAAATGTGTTCATTATCAAATTTTGTTCACGAATTAGCAAATGTTGTGTTTTTAAAAAAATCGTTGGGATGTTGAAAACAGGTTCATGTTTTTGAAAAAAATGTTGTTGTGTTCCAAAGAATGTTCACTTTCTCACTTAATTGCTTTATTTTAGAAATGTTCATATTTTCAATAAATTTTTCGAAAATACAGAAAATGTTCGGAATTTAAATTTTTTGTTCACATTGTCAAAGTTTGGTCCCATTTCAAGAAAAAATTTAATGTTCCAAAAAATGTTTATGTTTTTTATTTTTTTTGGAAAGTTCAAAAAGTGTTCACACTGTAAAAACTATTTGCGTATTTGAACAATTGTTAGTGTTCAAAAATATTTGGAATTCCAATTTTTTTTGACATTTTTTATTTTTTTGGAATTTTAAAAACTGTTTGTGTTTCTATGAATATTCTGCATTTACAAATTGGTCATTAATTTGAAGAAATGTGTCGAAATCTTCCAAAAACATTTGCAAATCTTCGTGTCATAGTGTTCTTGAGACTTTTGGGCTTACTAGCAATCAACAAACATCATCTTTCATTCGCAAAAAAAAAAACCCGGCACCTTTACTACTGGTTAGATGCGCAATTATTTGTTATTTTTTATGCGACGCGTTAAAAAGAAAAGCCGCCCGCGCCTTGCTGGGTCGTCTCAGTAGAGCAAACTCGGCATGTGCTCAGCTGAGTAACGTATATGTTCCGGCGGCAAGTACATATAAAAGTGGGTACAATTCGTCAAATGTCCATATTACGCTTTATACGTTTAATGGAACGGATTGTAAGTCATTCATCTCACCCATGGAAATAAAATACGTAGAATTTTCTAAAAAGTCACAGAAGCCATGCCTAGAAATTGTGTGCACAGTTTTTGGACTTTGTAGGTTAGTATGAATGTTTTGCATACCTGTGATGCCCTGTTTTCAATGATGATACTCCCTCCGTTTTTATTTAATTTGCATATTAGAGTTGACTGAAGTCAAACTTTGTAAAGTTTGACCAAATTTATAGAAAAGAATATAAATATTTACCATAACAAATCTATGTGATATGGATGTACATTCAACAATGAATCTAATGGTATTGATTTGTTATTGTATATGCTAATATTTTTGTCTATAAAATTTATCAAAGTTTACAAAGCTTGACTTTGACCAAAGCTAATATGCGAAGTAAATAAAAACGAAGGGAGTACATAACAGGTACCTGGAAACAGAGGGAGCTGGCGTTGGAGAATCCTTGGCTCCAAAAGAGGGAGAAATACCTTTTCAAGAAAAAAAGAGAGCGAGAGATAAGCCCAGCAAAATGGAGATGACGGACGAGCAGAGGCTGCGCATCGGCGCATGGACGGTAACTGGCTCAACGCATTGGAGAGAGCGGCAGCAGCACGGATAAAGGCATGAAACATTTTTGTTCTCCATATGAATCTGCTTGTGGCTCTCGATTGCGGTATTATGACATGATAAAGGAAGCCTGCATATTGGTACGATGCTCTGGAATTTGATGATTATACTCATCAGGTTCTACAAATGGTTCAGGTATTTGCACAGAATGACAACAGATACACCCTTACTCTGGCCGGATGCACAAGCATGCATGGTACAAGGAACACTACTAACTCACTCTTACTCTGGCCGGATGCTCAGGATTACTTCAGCAACACAAGAAAACAAACTCAAAAGAATGTAGTCGATGAGGAAAAAACATGAATATAAATGGACTTGTTTTCTTTTGTATTTATTTGATATACATAAATGACGGACTTACAACAGAAAAACCTGATAGAGATTCAGTTCAGAGAAAACAAATAATGGGTAGCAACAATGAAATTAAACACGGTAATTGTTTCCCCAAGAACATTTGAAAGCACAAAGCAGAAGGGGAACTCGTTCAATCAGTTCTCTTCTTGGACTAATATCTTGCCCAGCTGGTCTCTGATGGTCTGTGGCACCTTGCTGGCATGATTGAGTTTAAGCTGGATGAGGTTCGGACGGACGTTGCGAAGAAGAAGAGGATCTGTCGTCGGGTAGGCGATGTCGTCCCACTTGACAGTTCCATTCAGCACCATGGTCTGGAGACGTCGAAGGCCTGGCTCGGTGAAGACGCATGAGGGGATCTCATCACCTTGCAGGTTCAGGTGCTCAAGTAGATGCATCTTCTGCAGAGCAGCCCCGAGGGCAGGCCCTCCTTGTGTCGCATACTGGAAACTATGCATCTCCAGCGACCGTAGGTTTGCCATCTTGTCCAATGGACAACTCCTTATGCTCCACTCCCCTTCCGATCCTTGGGCGGCGGGCTTTACGCCATGGAGTGTCTGTAGCTCGCCACCTTCCTCATCATCTTCTTCCCCACCTGCCGGCATTGTCATTGTTGTTGGAAGTGTGAGGCTCTTAGCAAGCACATGGCGCAACGTCTTGATCTTCCAGAAATCCCGATGAATCTCCTCAACCTGGGTGTTGCTTACATCAAGCGTCTGCAAATTGGGAAGCCTAGCTATGCCATACGGGAGGTAGCATAGGTCGGGGCAGTCGATGCATAGATACCGCAAGTGGATCATGTCACCAAGCTCATCTGGCACCTCGTTGAGCCTCAACCCCTTCACAGAAACTACGCGAAGGAACTTAGACCAACGCAGAAACTTGATACCTTCATGCATAGACTTGTCTTTTGCCCACCTCCGTTGGACCTCCGCTTCTTTGTGCTTCTTCTCATCGACATGACATATGAAGGAACGCATCTTCAGGAACTTCTGGTGGGTGGTGTACATTGCGTTGTTGTCAGTCTGAATAAATATGCGGCGCACCAATGGCGGCACAAGAACATCATCTATGATGTTGTGGATGATCTCCATGAAGCCGACCTCTCTGACCTCTAACCGCAGGAGCCCTAGGAGGCTTATGTGAACTCTCACATGCATGATGCCACCATCGGGTTTTTTCTCCTCTAGCTCAACAAGGCATCTCAAGATGAGTTCTTTGAGGTAGTCATGTCCCACATCCTCAAGAGTCTTGTCATGGTGCAACTGCTTGTTGTTGATGAAGCCTTCTGCTATCCACATCCGAATGATCTCATTGGCATCTTGGCATGTATACTCGGGGCAGGCAGCGAGGTAGAGGTAGCACGACTTGAGGTCTTCAGGGAGGTCCTCAAAGCTTGCCCAGAAGATGGTTTCCATTGCCCTTCTTGTGCACAGTTGTTGCTGTTGGTAGTTGCACCTTGAAGTATTGAGTTGTTGCAGTACTGCATCCCACTGGACTGGCCTCTCCTTGAATCGGAGAAGTCCGGCTAGAAGCACTATTGCCATGGGATATCCTCCAGTTACATCATGCACAATTCTTTTGCAATTTTCATCTCTGAACTTCTCCTCGTCCTCCTCTTGCACCAACACTTGCTCATGTCGGCAGATGGCTCTGTAATTATCTCGATCATCCTCCTCCTTATTCCTTTCCTTTTTGTGGGATGACTCATAATTATCTCGGCCATCCTCTTTGTTCTCCTCCTCCTTTCTTTCCATTTCATGGGAAATCTCATAATTATCTTGATCCTCCTCCTCCTTCTGATTGCTTCCATTTTCATTGATCGACGATGATGAGTCATGTTCTCCTTTCCTAAAAACTTTCCAAGAGAATATCTGCCAACTTCTAGTCTTATCCAAACAGGTCATCATGTGTACTCCGTTATTACCACCTTTGTTCATGGTGTTTGCATGCCAAGCGACTTCTTCATTTTCGGTGTCCAATATTAGCACCACACGACTACCATTATTATTGTCATCTGGCAGGCTCGCCCTCAGATAGTTTAGGGTGGTTTTGGAGGATATCCCACCCAAAATCAACATGTACCTCTTCCCAGCAAGGAGGCGACGAAGCTTATCTTCTCCTTCTCCTTCATCTTCATGACAACGATCTGCCAACTGCCCCAATGCAATTTGGTACACATTTGTTAGAAGATCTCCTATGCTGGAGCCAGGCTTCATTTCATACCTTATTAAAGAATCCATATTTGAACATATGTCATCACAGACAATTTTTTTTATGAGTGTGTTCTTTCCAGCACCACTCTCCCCAACTATTGAGATGAACATTAGGTGGAGACTATCCTCATCTTTATGGACCAACATCCGCTTAAGAATCTCTTCATCCTTGTCAAACCCCATGGCGTTCTCCAGGTCATCCCGCCTGTACATCCAGTATAAAAACGCAATTAATGTATGTTATTAATGCCCATATATTTGCCTTAATTTAATTACTATTTATGCCTTATAAACATAGATCTTTTCAACAAAACATGTATATACAAACAATGTAATAAATATGAGTCTACAAGAGCTTAAACCCAAATTTTCACTTTAACTTGGGACGTTCTACTAAAAACATTTGGAGGGTCAACTCAATAATTTGATTTTGCAAACCTAATGGGACCATTAAATATCTTATTATTGTTGAGAACTATCGAACTGACATCAAAATTTTATAGTCCTGGACACATGGTTGGTAATTATAGGGGGCCAAGGGGTGTAAAAATATATGTGAGTGCTCTTACCCTATTTGTGGTTTGGCTCTATTAGGTGACTACGGATTTCTAGAAATGTTGTCATAAGAGAATATTTACTTCTCATGTATAGGCTATATACTCATGAGCATATTGTCTCCAGGCTTAGTATGTACATCAGTGAATGGAGATCTAGGAGCTCATGAAGGCGGAACATACCTTCTTACCTAGCATGGGTGACATCATAAAAAATTTCTCACTGTTTCTTGAGTGCTTTCTCCAAGTTAATTTATTTTCATCTTTCCTTTCTTGGCACTCTATATCGCTATATGGTTTGTCCCTAAGGTAGTATGATATGGATTTGTAATAAGCTGGTTGTGTGCATCTGGATAGTGAGTATGTACTTGCAGTCTCCTACTGCTTTTTATGCTTGAAATGACATGACACTCTGTACCACACGGTAAAACAATCTTTGGCAGACACCATATTAACCGCAACATATTTAGCCAAATCCACAAAATCATGCACAAAATAATTTTAGCGAGGTGTTGTACCTACTTTCATAGTTCAGGGTCTAATGGACTCGTTTTTAGTTGAAGGATTATGTGGTCAAATAGTTAAATCTTAGTTAAAATTTCACTTCTTCCGCTATGTAAATGCAAAGCTTATAGTTGTAAAATTAAGTGGTAACTGTTTACACCGACGGGTAACAATGATTATACAGGGTGTTCACACCACCTGGAAAATTTGGGCGAAACCCCACAATGTCTATTTTCCATTGCTCTTTATTATTTGGGAAATTAGCAAACACCATGTAGAATTGAAAACCCATTGTCACGTACCACGCTGCAATGGCTGTGGTGGAAGATGCCAGTGTCACCGATGGTGTACGCTCAACCATGAAGTCCATTTGCTCTTCCCTAGTGTTCTGTAGTGTACTCATGATCCTTCTGATTTGACCGGACAACCTACGGCGAACGATGATCCGGCCGAAGAAGCCAATGAAGTATCTTACTTGTGTTCTTGAGTTTCGACAACCTTGACTTTTTAAGGCCACCTGTTATTAACCAAGGAGAAAAAGAGCATGAGTAAAAAAAAAATCTCCGTAGCATATGCATGTTCACCTGGAGTAAATTTTATTGGGTCTCCTACAAATCAATAAATAATTATCCAACATCCTGAAATGGAGAGTTTCTTTTGTGGGGAGGGGGAACAGAGCATGCACATAAGATCTTCTTTGTTTGTAGACATATCTACTCCCTCCGATTCAAATCGTTTAAATTTCAAGCTTTGTTCCAAGTATACTGAAACATATATCAACATATGCATGTTTTTTCTACAGATTTCGTCGAATAAAGAGAAGTCCGCATATGAAATGGCCAGAACTACAAAGAATTGAGGGAGGGATAGGAAGAGGGGATGGAAGGTACCTGGTGGTGGAACATCACGTCGTCAAGCGCGTCCTCGGCATCAAAGGCGGTGTCACGCCTCCGACGGGCCCAAATGCGAGATTGGCCTTCGTGCCGACCGGCGCGGTTGCCCCGATCGGCGCCGCTCCGGTCAGTGTCGCGGATGACTGCCTGCAGCCACCTGACACGGTCGTGTAACAGCGCCGCTTCATCGCCGACCCGACACAGCTCATCGGCCTCGTGGGCCGCCAGCTTCGACATTAGCGCGGCCATGGATATGTTAGCTAGCTAGCTATCTTGCTCCCGTTAGCTAATGAGAGGGGATATATATATATATAGTAAGAGCTTAATGAGCTAGTGCCTTGCTGGGCAGGTCGACCTAGCTTTGCTAGTCAACCGAGGTTAGGCATCGAGCCTAAACATGGAAGCCTAGCTAGCTGTTAAGTATTTATTTCTTTTGTATATATGTATGTATGTATAGTGGGCAATAACATAGTGCCACTACTGCCTACAGGGAGCGTGCGGTGCAAGTTAGCTAGCCGTTGAGAATGGCCACTTGGCCACGAGCCCATGTTGTGCACACCAACTTGCTAGGTAATTAACTAATTAATCATCCTTAATTAGAATCACTTGCCAAATTGCGAGGAATTGAAAGGAAGAATCTTCCAACAAGACTAGAAAAGAATTAATTCTTGATTCCTTCTACGTTATGCACTACATGGTTACTAAAGGTACCAGTTGAGTGAATCGTATATCAATTCCAAATGTAGCGCAAACTAAACCTGTGGTTAGGAGGACATACTGTGGTATCC